TATGCTGCAATCCCTTCTTCTTCATTCTCCTCCTGGGATCTTAGGCACACACGCACATGCGCCCAGCGTGAGTTTAAGCCACTGGGTCTGGGACTTGAACCACAGTCGACTACATGGGAGTCCAGCGGCGTAGCCATTAGATCAACTGCTGGGCCCCCTCCCAACTTAATTGTGCGTGGCCCTGCTGTTTCCTAACTCACTTCCCTGACAAACCTGGACAGGAAAGGGTTTTCTCCCTTCTGCTCTCACTGTGCCCCTTACCTCGACTGCATCCCACGCAGGATGGTGCCCCGTGGCCCGAAGTCTCCCCCTGGAGCTTCTTGCTGTCCTTGACCCCAGACTGTGTATGCACAGGGGTCCTCAGACCTCCCCTGCCTTGCTCCGCGGCTGCCTCACCGTCCTTCCTTCGTACACCCTGCTGCCTCCTCTCCTGTCTGAGCCAAAGGTGAGTGAGGACAAGGTGGCCAGATTCAGGGTAAACAGGGAGGGTCTGCAAGGGAGCAGGGGTGGGGCGGGTGGGCGATCCAGGGTGGAGGCCCAGCGTGCTGGCCTGCTCACCAGTGTTGGTCTTTCAGGGTTTACTTTCAGTCCTTCTTTTGCTTGAGGGGAAGAAAGGAAAAGGAGAGAGGGGAGCTGGAGTCACCCAGACGGGGGAATTTTGAAAACGAGAAAAGAGAAGCCAAGACTCACGACCCGCTGGCCCTCCTGTCACATCTCCTGTCCTGCTCTTACGGGTGCCCGGGGGAGAACGACGCCTTCAATAACTGTCCCTGCAAACTGTGCCGGGACTTGTCGCCCGATGGGAACCACGGGGTTCTCCCAGGTTCTTTCCCTCCAAACAATGGCCCTACTTCTCCCACCTCCCGGGCCAGGAGCAGGCCCCACTTACCCAGTCGGGTGGGCCGCAGGCAGGTCTGGACCTCACGCAAGGCGGACTGAGTCCCCAGGCACAGAAGGTGAGCAGGGCGTGCTCTCCTCCTCCTCGGCACAAGGGGAAGCGGGGAAACCCTATTCCTCCTTGGTTCGGGAAGTGAAACGGGGGACACCCTTCCCTCCCGGTATCAAGGTCTGACCAGGCACTTGGCGAGGACGCCCACAGTTTTGGGTCCCATTTCAGCTTTGTCTCCCAGGCATGTCACCAGGGCTCGCTGTTCCCCTGGAAACACCACCCTGGGCTGTAGTCTCAACAACTGGGGCTCCTTGGACCAGAACCCCTCAAGACAAATGGACTTATTATCTTTTCTAACTGCTTGGCTATAACATAAATGAGGAAACCCGAGGAGCGGCCCCCAGTGGGAGTAGAACAGTAACACCCCCTGTGGCTTGACTCATTTGCAGGCAAGTAAGGAAGTGGCGTAAAATTCTATGTGTGCAAGCTTTTTTTTTTTAATATCCCCTTCTTTCATTTTCCTTGACAAGGAAACATTACTCCCCAAAGAAGCAAATGGGCGCATACTTACAAATTCAGCTCGACTGAACATTAACGTCAGCCTGTCACCTCCACGGTACCCAAGGAAACCATTGGTACCCGAGGAAACCATTGTAATCCTTGAGGGAATCTATGCAGAGTCCCAGAAGTTAAAACACAGGCAGGCGACACAAGAAAAATGTAGGAACAAAACCGGGAAAGGCTCGTGCAAGGAGGAGCATTCTGTGCTGACTTGGGGCATGCAGAAACACCCAGCTGAGGATGGTGGTACACAGGGACCAGCAGTTAGCGTAATGGCTATGTCGCTGGACTCCCATGGAGCGACCGCAGTTTGAGTCCTGGACCCAGTGGCTTAGACTCATGCCAGGCGCGTGTGCGTGTGTGCCCAAGATCCCGGGAGGAGAATGGAGGAGAAGGGATTGCAGTGTGGTCACCCCCCTTGGGGGTGATTTCTCGCTTTCTGTCTCTATGTCTCTCTCTGTGTGTCTGGTGAGCGCATGCACCCTATGGCAAAAACCTCTCCTAAATAAATAAATAAATAAATAAATAAATAAATAAATAAATAAATAAATGAAGTTGGTGATGC